TGGCCCACCCCGTCCCCCGGCCCCCGGACCCCGGGCCTGCAACCCCCACCCCTGCCACCACACATCCCCGCCCCCGCCAGCTGTTGGCCCCGCCTCCGGCCCTGCATCCAGGGCCACCCCGGTCGCACAAGTGGTGGGTGTGGCCCCGGGGGGGTCCAAGGTGGGGCACAAAACCCCATTTTTTGGGGTTAGCCCACGGGTTGCATGCTCTCGCTCCACAACCCCCACTGTTTTTTTTTTGGGGGGGGAGGGGGGGGGTCTCCGGAGCCAGGGCCAGGGGTGGCTACACTGGAACCGAGTACATTTGGTACTGCAATACCCAAAAGATATTTATATCTTTGTCAGCCAAGCTCTTGTTAGGTGGGAACAGGCTGAGTTCATCAGCGCTCCATGTCCACTGCCCTACACTCAGAATTTGGTGGAACAGAGAGATAGCTGGTACTCTTACCCTGCAATACCAAAAAGGTCCTGTAGATATCTAAGTCTGTATCCGTCTAGCTCTTGTTAGGTGGGAAGAGTTTTGGCTCATCAGGCCTCCATCCCCACGGCCCCACGTGGGCGAAAGTGCAAAGATGCTGCAATACCAAAAGTTATTGTAGGTATGTCTCTTTGTCCATCTAGCTCTGATAGGTAGGAAGAGGTTTGGTTCATTAGAGTTCCCTGTCCACTGCCCCACATGGGGGAAAAGTGCAATGGGTGGCTTTCTGGCCTGAGTTGCTCTCCTTTCTTTGGCAGTCTGGTATGGGGTTCAAAATTCAAACCTTTGAACTAGGGATAAAGCTGTAAAATTGTGGTAACATGTTGGAGCGACAAAAAAATAAAAGGGAGGAGACCAGAAGGTACATACTACATAAGCATAATGCTGTGAATGAATTTGGCTGGCGTCCAGGGTTCAAGTCCTGGTGTGTTACAATGACCATCGGGCAGGAGTGATGTGGAAGCAACCTCAAAAAAAAGATCAAATTGTGTGGGCTAAGTCAGTGTACGTACACTTTTTGGGTCTCTTAAACTCTCTTCTCGTTCTTATATATGTCGGAAGGCTATCCCTATTTTGGAACACACTTTATTGCTTTTTTAAAGTTTTTAATGTCCTTTGTCACCACCATTGACATATTCTTCCTCGTTGTGTCTTTAACTGTGTGGTGGCTCTCCAGGTACCATGGTTCTACTCTAGTGACAGCAAGTCTAACTGGGTGAGTTTGTGAATGAGAGAGTCAGGAGGTGTGTGTGTGTGTGTGTGTGTGTGTGTGTGTGTGTGTGTGTGTGTGTGTGTGTGTGTGTGTGTGTGTTGACATATGAATTAGTGGACCTTAGTCTGTCAGTAAGTATTTTTTCTTTCTCAGTGAAATATTGACTTGATTCTTAAAATATCAACGTAAGAGTCGGTAAGACCAAGTCAGCATTGCACTACCTGTGGTTGGCCCCTACCAATTGACGAAACGGGTCACAGTCAATCACTGACTAGGGGGTTATTAGCTTTGCGAACCCTGGACAGTAGTGCTATTATGCTATTCAGCTCCAAAGTCAAAAGAGCGCTAGCGAAATGTCCCGGCATCCATCAGTGCTGCTCTGCTGTGCCTATTTCATTGTGCATTTTGACCATTCTGGTGAGCATTCAGCAGGGAGGAGGCTATATCGCCCCTCTTGCCAAGGGATGATTCCGCTGCAGGCTCCACCCCCCGCCTTCCCCCCTTCCCCACCCCAAGTCGACACAGGGAAGCTTGAGCGAGGGGCGATGACATTAGAACACCATCACTATCATTGCAATCGTCATCATCACATAAAAACTACACGCTTTTTTTTTCGCTCCTCCACGCTCCAACCAAAACTTCAGCCACAAATTCATGTATTGTTGGTACTGCTGCTGCTGCGGTTCTTGCTGCGGTGGTTGCCACGACAATGGTGGTGGTGGCGGGGGTGGTTATGGTGGTGATGATGGTGCTGGTGGTGGCGGCGGTCGTGGTTATGGTTGTTGAGGTCGTGGTGGTGGTGGTTGTGGTAGTGGTCGTTGTGGTTGTTCTTGTGGTAGTGGTGGTTGTTATGGTGGTGGTGGTTGGTCTTGTTGTTATTGTGGTGGTGGTTGTGGTTGTGGCCACGATGGTGTTGCTGGTGGTGGTTCTCGTCGTGGTGGTGCTGTCCAACGCAGTCCTCACGGTTGTTGCGGTAGTCGTCATTGTCATTGCGGTGGTTGAGGTTGGGGATGTGGTGGTTGTCATGGTTGCCATCACTCTTGTTGTTGTCACCATCGTCGCCGTCGTTGTTGTTGTTGTTACACGCTACCCTAGCGGATAGAGTACGAAAGGAAGAAAAGGTATTCAAAAAATCAAGAAGTGTGAAGACCACTAAGAGGAAACGAAGACCAGAGACGTTGCGAGTATCACTGTCAGACGAGAAACAGGCGGGGAATAGAGTGGGTTTGAGTTGTGTCATGCTTCTCTTAGGTTTGAGATGTCTTTAAAAAAAAAAAAAAAAGTTTAAAAAC